TGGAAATTCAAAACTTAAAAAATTATTTTTTAATTTTTGAACTTTTGTGATTCAAAATTTTCGAAACTCAAATAAAAAATAATTCATATATAACAACAATGTGAATATAATTGTGATTATGACAATATTAATTATTTATTATTACAAAATTATTTTTTTAATTAATAATAAATTTTAAATTTTTGTTTACACTTTAATTGATATCCATTATAATCGTTAATAAAAAAACAATAAAATGAAGTACATAAATTTAATTTTATCAAATCAAAAAAACAATTTTTATTGAATTCATTGATTAAAAAAAAAATCTAAATTCAAAAAACAGAATTTCTTAAGAATTTTTGATAAAATAAATATTCTTTAGATAAAAAAAAAGAAAAAAAAATAAGCATTATAGATTTCAAAAAAAAAGTTTCAAGACTTCGTAAAATTTCGAATTCAACTTTCGCAATAATCTAAACTTTTGATCCATCTTTGATTTAAATCCAGTTCTACATGTTTTCAAAAATAATCATTACAGTTTATGTTTCCCACGATACAAATCTAAATAAAATCTAAAATCTAAATTCTAAAATCAGCATCATCCTGCAAATTGAATGATTGTATCGAGGTGTGCTCTGGAAAGCATTTCTACCAAATCAACGAGCCAAGTCCGCGAAAACTGATTGCGTGTATTCGAGGAGTGCGTTCTCTCGGCGATGAGGATCGATGCGGTTTCCGTGGTAACGGCGCCGTCAGAGAGGTCGGAGTCGCGGATGGTGGTAGACAAAGAGCATCGAGCACAAAACTGATGCAGTAACGACACCGCCGTCGCCAAAGAACACATCTTTTACATTTTCTGTCGCGTGTGCGTGCATCCGTGTGCTTCGTCATTCCTCACCAACATTCCGCCTGCACGACGTCGCTTCAAGACGACAAGCAACATGCGGAGGCAGCCGATCCTCCGCACAAGAACAACGATAAAAAACTCGATCGCGAGAGCGATCAGAGGAATATGTACAAGAAACCATTGCGATCAGAATCGGGGATCCGTTTGTTGCAAAAATGGAGCGACATGCCGCAGCATTTGCAGTTCAATCCTCATATCCGCACTGGATATAGGCCCCTCATGACCGTGGCCCAGTGTCTCGGCAGTTTGTTTTACATCCACAATGAAACTGTCAATATCTTGACACATGGTGAGTTCTGAGAACATTGTTTACAAAGAGAATATTATTTAATAAAGGGATAGATATGATTCTTTGATTTTTTGAGATTATACAAATACGATAGAACGCCGATTATTCGAAATTTTGTTATTCAAGTAACCGATTATCTGAATACAGGATTAATATATAGATTAATATTAGTGTTCATATTCTAGTAACATGTATCTTATTAAGTATACATAAATATATTAGATTATTATAAATGGTCAATTGAAAAATAAGTGATTAAATGTATATAAAATGTATATAACATATACATTAAATGTATCATTAAATAATACACATCAATTTATAAAATTTAAAATTAGATAAATACAATTTGAGTATTATTTTATTATTAATTAATTATTCGTTGATTATAAAAAAAATTTTAATTGAATTAATATCAATATCAAATTCATGTTTTTATATATAGATTTAAAATAAAAATATTATAATATAAATAATATAAATGTTGATTTAAAATAAAAAATATAATATAACATATAAAAAATTTTTCTTAACATTATAGAATTATAGTAAAATATAATAGAATTTTCAAAAAATTTTACATTTAAAGAAATAATCTTTTATATATATAAAAAATTAAAATTGATAAATATAAAAAAAAATTATTAATAAAAATCAATTTACTATTATAATAATTTTGTTTTTGTTTTTCAATGGATAATATATATGAATTTGTTGATTAATATGATTTATAATATTTATATAATCAAACTTTGATTAATATAATTTTTGATAAGCTAAAAGTTATCTTATTTTATTATTTTATTATAAAGATTTGATTATTTCATTATCGTATAAAGATTATTTCATTTGAAACAATTTGATATATTCTTTTAATCTGATAATAAATATCTATATTTAAAAATTGTTTTATTTTTAATTGCTTTATTTAATATTTAATTATTTCGTGATATATTTACAAATTTGATTAAATTTCTGACCGATTATAATCGACGTTTTATTGTAGTTAATATTTGATTGTTGAATGTATTAATTTTGAAAAAAGAATATTCTATTATTCATGATACAATTGAATTAATTTCTCATGAAAAAATAAGTCAAAAAGAAATAATAATATTTTTTTCATTTGAAATTTTGTTTATGAATAAATCAAGTTTCAAAATATTTCAAACTTACAAATGAAATTAAAATTGAATCTAATTTCTAAATAAAAAATGAATTACAAATGAATTAATAATAAATCATTATTTTATATGTGAAAGTAAACAAAAAATGGAACTTTATTGTCTAAGATTTTATTTTTAAAAAAAATCGAGAACATTGTGTAATCAAGAAATTATATGATCCATGAATTTTCAAATTCAATATTATTAAAAACAAATTTTTAAATAAAAGAAATTTATTTTATATTTTTTGCTTATTTTCATATTATTTCCTTCATTCTTATTTCGAGAATTAAATTAATCGAGAATTAGTCAATTATTTGTATTTAATCATTTATAAATTTTTTCTTTAATTTATTCAAAAAGCTTCAAATGAAAAAAAATTTTTTTTCGATGAACTAATTCATGACAAGTTAATTATTATTTTCTCAGTTACTACGAAAAAGTCTATATATATTATGCATATTATATTTGGATTCTGCTGTTGGATTAATTGTTAAATTTGTTTGTGATTTGATTGGAAAATATAAAATATTTATTTAATTATTAATTTAAGATTAAATTATATGTTTAAAAATATTTATGTGAGTTTATATTATGAATAATTGAAAAAATAAAATCTGTATAAAGATTTATTTCATTCTTTAAATATTATAATGATATATATTATATTTTAGATACCTTATATATTTTTTCATATTCGTGGATTAATATAATATCAAGAAATATTTAAATCTTTCATTTCTTATAGTTTTAGTAATTGATTTGATACATAAATGTTACAATGAAACCTTAATTTATAAATAGTTAATATTTTATTTTATGTAATGTTTTAATAAAAATATCAACTAAATATAAAAACATTTATTATTCATTATATCGATTTTCTGTATATAATCACTTTAAAATGTTCAAAGGTGAGGAGAAAAGAAAAGTTGTATTCCGTTATTTAATAAAGTAAAAAATTGGATTAACCTTAAGCTTTTCAAGGTCAATTTATATGAAAAATCATTATATTTCTATTGACGCATTGAGATAGCGAAAAATCGATTAACGAAGCCATATGTTATTTTTCTGAAATCTATTACACATACATGATATAACATCAATTTTATATTCAAAGAAATAATTAATGTTATTAAAAAAAAAAAAAGAAAAGAAAAGAAAATTAAATATTCAAAAAATAATTTTATATTCAAATATAAAAAATTAAACATAAGCACTTATTTATGTTCAATATTCATGAATTTTTAACGATTTAATTTTTAATAATTTAATATAATAATGAATGACAATAATATGTAATAATAATGAATAGTTTATAAATTTTTAATAATTTAAGAAAATTTTTATTTTAAAAATGACATGTTGTGTTAATCATATCAAATCATAAAGAGTTTATTAATAATCGCAAAAATAATGTACATACAAAAGAGATTATAAAGATAAACATGATATAATATTTATTATACAGGTATTATACAGGCATTTCATATTTATCATTTCATATTTAATCAATTAATTAAAAATAAATATTGTTTATTGATAATTAAGAGATATATGAGATAATTAACAAAGACAAAATTCTAAATGAATATTCTATAAATATAATAATTAATTAATTAAATTATATATTATGTTAAATGCAATTAATTATATATAATTTTTTAGATAAAATTTTTATTTTATATTTGCATGATAAAAATAACACTATAAATTTTTATGTATAAATATTTAAAAATTATTATTCATATTAAACAATTAAAAATAATTGTTGCAGAGAATTAATAAATTTTTAAGTATAATTATAATATAAATGTTAAATATAC